AAACTAAACAAGAAAAAAAAAAAAAAAAAAAAAAACTGTAACACACAGAAAACAAAAAAAAAAAAGCGGAAGAAAATAAAAAATTTAGTTAGGTTAAGAGAAGAGAGGATTACTTTGGATAAAAACCTTGTAAGTGAAGGTTAAATCCCGAGAGATAACCAGCGACTGGGTTCTGATATTATTCAGTTCTGGAAGGCAAATATGAATTGGTTACGGTGTTTTCCTTGCCATGATGGCTGGGTTAAAGGGCAGAGGTTGGAAGTATTTCTATTATGTGGTAAAAAAAAAAAGAGCTGTTCTTATTTATAGAAGACATTGTTGTTACCTGGTAGTATTATATTGTATTATTAGATAGTAGCTTTTTGATTTTTTGGCTGTGTGTGTTTGTGTGTTGAGCATGGGGATGCTTGGCATCTAAAATTCGAAGATCCCATTTTTGAATTTTAGATTAATTTCACCTAGCTCAGCTGGTGGCCTGATGGCCAAGTAGCGATCACTCTTGTGCTCGATACCACATCTTTCGTGGTCGAGGACTGACAGGGACAGGGATGTTTTTAGTGGTTCGGAATCCCCTTTAAACCTTAGGTCCCAGTCTAATATGACTGTAGAGTGTTCGCTATAGGGTTTGCAATATTATCCTATAAAAAGAAACAATCTGCTGTGTCGAAATGTGCCAGTAGATAGACGGCGTTGGCCCACCATGGGCTCTAGTGCCAAAAAGTTCGTTAGTTAACATTCATATTAGCATTTATTTTTATGGTAATGTGGCATGCAATTTTCAAAAATATTACGGTTAATCACCGGTTAAAAACTTAGCAGATGCACAAATTTTTGTAAACCTGTTATGGGAAATTGTTAAAAATAATTTGAAGTAAGGATCACTACTTAGACAGATGTATTAAAATTTTATTAAGAAATGAATACCATTTTTTTCGAAGAAAAAAAATGCACACAAATTAAGTTTAACACTTAATTAAATCAAAATCATATGCAGCATATTTAGAAAATGTCAATAATAAAAATTTTTGTTGATAAGAATTTTCTGAAAATTATCTATTTTTATATATCTGGTTTAAAATTGTTATTATTTAATGGAAATTATAAACTGCAATTTGTATTAATAGGTGAAATTTGCAATAAATCAAAGAAACAGGTCTTCAAATAACAAAAGCAAATACCAGCTCCAATCATCCGTTGAAAGTCAAGCTGGCAATCTCTTCCCCAATGTCTAGTCATCAATTAATTCCAACGTCGATGATAGCCAAAGTTTGAAATTTTCTCATTTCGTTCCCTTAATACGATCCGCCATCAATCATACAAAGGAAGAAAAGGGGGTTGAAACATTAAAGAAAATTCCAATTCCCTGGCCCCAGCGTTTAACAAGGCTTCGGTCCGTCCGCTGGGACTTCCGTATCCTAACGCAAATAACAGGAGAGCTACAAAAATGTTCGATAAATACTTAACGACAAGCCTCGGGGTAAGAACTGCTGCACTCTTTCCTTCCCTAACAGAAAACAAAACAAGAAAGAAAAAAAAAAAAAAAAACTGTAACACACAGAAAACAAAAAAAAAAAAAAACGGAAGGAAATATAAAAATTTAGTTAGGATAAGGAAAGAGAGGATTACTTTGGATAAAAACCTTGTAAGTGAAGGTTAAATCCCGGGAGTTAACCAGTGACTGGGTTCTGATATTATTCGGTTCTGGAAGGCAAATATGAATTGGTTACGGTGTTTTCCTTGCCGCGATATTTGGTTAAATGGCCAGAGGTTTGAAGTATTTCTATTATGAGGTAAAGATAAAGATATGTCCTTATATATAGAAGATATTGTTGTTACATAGCAGTATTATATTCTATTATTAGATAGTATCCTTTTGGTTTTTTGGTGTAGTTGGGCGGGAGTTTGTGTTTGTAGATCATGGATTTGTTTGGCATCTAAAATTCTAAAAGCACATTTAGAATTTTAGATTAACTTTCCTAGCTCAGCCGGGGACCTTATGACCAAGTGCTAGCAAGCTTGTGCTCGGTACCATAGTCTTCGGGTCCGAGGACCGGCAGGGCCATGGATGTTTGTAGTGGTTCGGAATCCACTTTAAACCTTAGGTCCCAGTCTAATATGACTGTAGAGTGTTCGCTGTAGGGCTGACAATATCATCCTGTAAAAAGAAACAATCTGCTGTTTCGAAATATGCCAGTAGATAGACGACGTTGGCCCATCATGGGCTCTAGTGCCAAAAGTTAGTTAGTTAACATTCATATTAGCAATTATTTTTTATTGTAATGTGGCATGAAATTTTCAAACATATTACGGTTAATCACCGGTTAAACTTAGGAGATGCACAAACTTTTTGTAAACCTGTTTATGGGAAATTGTTAAAAATAATTTGAAGTAAGGATCAGTACTTAGACAGATGTATTAATCAATTTTTATTAAGAAACGAATAAAATTTTTTTCGAAGAAAAAAAAAAAGCACACAAATTAAGTTTAATACTTATTTAAATCATAATCATGTGCAGCATATTTAGAAAATGTCAATAATAAAAATAATTATTGATAAGTCTTTTCTAAAAATTATTTGTTTTTTTAATTATCTGGTTTGAAATTGTTATTGTTGTATGGAAATTATAAACCGCAATTTGTATTAATATTTAAAATTTGCAATGAATAAAAAGAAACAGATCTTCAAATAACAAAAGCAAATACCAGGTTCCAATAGTCCGTTGAAAGTCAAGCTAGCAATCTCTTTCCCAATGTCTAGTCATCAATTAATTCCAACGTCGATGATAGCCAAAGTTTGACATTTTCTCATTTCGTTCCCTTAATACGATCCGCCATCAATCAGTACAAGGAAGAAAAGAGGGTTGAAACATTAAAAAGAAAATTCCAATTCCCTGGCCCCAGCGTTTAACAAGGCTCCCGTCCGTCCTCTCGGCTCCCCTATCCTAACGCAAATAACAGGAGAGCTACAAAAATGCTCGATAAATACTTAACGACAAGCCTCGGGGTAAGGACTGCTGCACTCTTTCCTTCCCTCATAGAAAACTAAACAAGAAAAAAAAAACTGTAACACTCAGAAAACAAAAAGAAAAAAAGCGGAAGAAAATATAAAAATTTAGTTAGGACAAAGGAAGAGAGGATTACGTTGGATAAAAACCTTGTAAGTGAAGGTTAAATCCCGAGAGATAACCAGTGACTGTGTTCTGATATTATTCGGTTCTGGAAGGCAAATATGAATTGGTTACGCTGTTTTCCTTGCCATGATGGCTGGGTTAGAAGGGCAGAGGTTTGAAGTATTTCTATTATGAGACAAAGAAAAGAACTGCTGTTATTTATAGGAGACATTGTTGTTTCATAGAAATATTCTATTCAATTATTAGATAGTAGCTTTTTGATTTTTGGGGTTTGTGTATGTATATGTGTAGAGCATGTAGATATTTGGGATCTAAAATTCTAAAAGCACATTTTTGAGTTTTATATGATTTTTTCGTAGTTCAGCATGATAGCAAATATCTAAAGATTCTTGAATTTTAATACAAATTCTTTTAACGTGTAATTTTAAGAAAAATTTCATGAGACCTTAGCAATTGTTGTTTGCTATACTTTGAAGTGATGTCAACATTTTAAAAATAATTTTGTCCTATTGCGCCATCATAATAAACGCCCCATTTTTCTGCATTGAACTCCTAAAGGTGAATCGTTCTGGTCCATGGCTTTTGTTAAACCTCGCTTGAAAATTATGAAAACATGCGGTTAGTTTATTTACTAAGCTTCAAACTGAGTTAATCAATCGTTATAAAAAACCTTTATTTTTTGACATCTAGGCTTTAAGTGGCCCATTTACTACAATTACATAGAAACTGAGATATGTACATAATTATTTAATATTATTCTTGGAGTTAGTTTTTGTTCTTTAGTTTACGGTTCTATGTACACCATGTTATTTATTTCAAATATTAAATAAGGGTTTTGTGTTGTGATATGTAAAAATCAAGTTTGTAAATCTTGATTATAAAATGGTTTGCAGTTCTTCTTAATAAAAATGTTTATCTGCTTCAGTATATATATATATATATATATAACCATATATATATATATATATATATATATATATATATATCCATCTCAGTTCAAGAAACAGGAGGTAGAGTGATATTAAAGAAAACTTACTAGACTATGAGTAAACAAAGGCGAAGGCTAAGAATTACAATCATTATATTGCAAAACGAGACGACTTGATGGAGATTGTGATAGAGTAACTGACTTGAATGGATGGCATCGTTTATATTCATTAACATCTTTAATTGTATGAAAATGTGAGCGATTATGTTTGGAAGTCTCTTAAAGAAGCAGTTTAACATTTTGCCTTTGGTTAGTGTATAGACGGAGATCTTTTTAGTGCGCCAAATTTTCTACAAACCCTGGTGTTTCAGTGCCGATTGACATTAAATTAAGTATCCTAATCTGACTATTAAAATAAAATTTGTCTGATGTGTATTCATAAAAATAAACTTTCGACTTTAAACTTAACGAATAAATTTGTAGCTTCTACGTTTTTAATTGTTTTTTTTTCTATAATACAAAAGACATTTCCTTAATGTTTTTTTTTTTTCTCAACAAAAAGAGACGAAAAATAATTTTTGTTTAGTTAAAGTAAATATAAAATTATTTTTAAATATCAGAAAACAATATTATTTGCAAACTTTAAAATCTGTTTGTTGTTTATTATCCCACTTGGCTGGCCAAGCTCACGAGCCCATACGTACTCATGATTGAAGGGGAGGGAAGCAGCTTCTGTTGTGATGGAGCACCCGTAAGTAGAAGTCTGACTTTGGCTCCGTGACGCTCTTACAGTCATAGGAGACCGGGACCTACGGCTTAAAGTGGATTCCGAACCACTACAAACATCCATGGCACCGCCGGGATTCGAACTCGAAACCTGTGGTACCGAGCGCCAGAGCGGTAGACACTCGGCCATTCAGGTTCCAAATTTGTGAATGCCAACGGCATACGGTGTTCCCAGTTTGTCAAGTACTGACCGTGCCCAATGATGCTTGACTTCGGTGATCTAACGAGAACCGGTATATTCAGCATGGTATGGCCGTTGGCACTTTAAAATTTGACATTTAGATTAGATATTTAAATAGATTATTCATTCTCTATTGAGAAATTTATGCAAAAATTATTTTTCATTAAGGTAAGTCAGCTTATTGGTAAGGATAATATATTAAACTACTGCAGATGATTGAAAAAAATACAACATAAACTAAATACATATATATATACACAAATAAATTTATATAGATTCTTCACATTATATTTAGAAATACATACGCTCTTATTTCTCTTCAAGTTAATTTAAATTCAATTTATTTGTAAGAATTATATTATAAAATACTACAGATCATTGAAAATATACAACAAAAGCAAATACACTCGCTCAAACACTCACACGCACATACATATAAGTTTGTAAGCTACGCTTTTTTTCAATTTAAGAAAGACATCTACATTCATGCTTACTAGAATATGTTGTGATATAAATTCTGTAGCCCAAGATTTGATTAATCTTAACTTTTTCTACATGTCTTAAATTTATCAAATATGCCAAAAAAAGGTAAGTTAATGAATTTATTTTTTATTATAGAGATATTCAGATGCAAAGAGATTTTAAAATTGAAAACGGACAAAATATTGGATGAGATATAGAGAAATGAGAAAATGGATAACCAAGAAAAATTAATTCTTGTTGAATTTGATTTATTTTATTATATATGATTTTTACAAATATGAGTGACTTTAAATCTTATTTTAAAATGTTTGCTAGAAAGTAATATTTTATGATGGCTTACATATTTATTTAGAAAGGCTATGTAAAATAATAGCTTTGAAATATATTATGAATTTTTTTTTTTAAGAAGAAGACATTTACTAGTATAAAATTTTAATACTAGTATAAATGTTATAAATAATGAATATATATTTTAACTGCAAGGAATGAATATAATTTTTGTTACTCAACATTCTGGAGGCTTCTGATGCCACCGAAGTCTTACAATACTTTATATTTTTAAAAATGCACCAATGAGATTTTATCTTCCTCTTTCCTTTTCGTATCTAATAGATAGAATTTCTGGTATATTGATTTATCGTATTCATCAATGGCATTAACTCAATGACTTTCTACTAAGTTCACTTAAGGGCCGTTAAATGCATTTCTTTTATATCATTGGTTCTTAATTAGGTGTCCATGGATCCAATGGATGTCAACGGGTTTGATTTAGGATGCCTATAAATTCAAAGGAGTATATTTAAAAACTTTCTTCTAAGACTCATGATCTAAAATCCAACCATCACATCAATGCAATCCAAAAAACTGAAATCTGCTCGACAAATTTCATTTTTATCTTTTTTAAACATTCGAGAACGGATGAATAAACTCAGAAATATAACAATGTTTAATAATGCAAAGAGTGAATGAAGCAATTGTTTGGCATATTACAAGAATGGCCAAATTCAATAGCCACATGAATATAGCAAGGTTGAATAGATCAAGAACTTCATGAAGAATGAATTTTTCAAAAATCTCTAAAAGAATATACAAAAGTAAGATAAATGCAGTCGAGAATGAAGTATTACCAATTCTACAAGAATCGTTATCGCATTCAATAGACACAAAAATATATTCAAGTTTGAAAATTCTATGCATAAATGAAGAATGGAGTATTCCAAATACAATAAGAAGCACTATACAGCTCAATAGTCACCAGAAACAGCTAAAAGTGATAAATATGAAATTTCAGTAAGAAAGAATTTACCAACGCACCACGAGTACTCATAGGCAAGGGAAATATAGGTGTTTAAAATCCCAAGCCAAAAACTAAGTGATTAAAAATCATATTACAAAAAGCAAAAGCCAAATTCTCCACAGAAATTTTATATATCTAAAGTTATTCATGAAGCATTTCAAGTGTTAAGGAGCCCAAAGTACCATTTTCCTCTAAAATTTGGAATGGAGTTTTATTTGCTCATTTGCTTTTTGGCCCTCATTTTCAGATAACTTCACATATCACTAACCAGGACTACATCATGTTCACACATGATAAAAAATCAGTTGCTTGGCCTAAATTCAGTATTTCTCATAAATGTAAGCAATAATTACTGAATTTTGTTTACCAATAGAAATAATAGATTATTTATGCAGTACAATAACTTGATGCAAAATAAGCAACATTAGTATTATCAATGGAACATTTGAACAATCCTGTACTTTATATGCTTTGATGTTATAATATACTTTTTATTATTTATCATTATTATTATTGTGTAAAAGTTTTTTAATTGTCAACTGAATTAAATATCTTATTTTAAAACATTTATGAAAAAGGTACAATGGCTTCCATTTTATGTGCAAATATCCATAAAATGGAAGCCATTTTTCGATTAATGGAATTTAAACGTTAACAGCGATCAGAAGTTCAGAGCAGAAATTGATGCTTCAGACAAAGGAATCTATTAAAAGAATTCGAAAAATGAAATTATTTCTTTCCTTTTAGTTGTCAGAATATTTATCAGCAGAATCTTTAAATATAATCAAATAGTAACAAACTTATAATTATAAATAGTTAAATATAGTAACAAACTTTTCGTAAGCATATTTGCCATCCATGACTTCGAAGAAAATTCTCTGAAAACTGATGTTTTTCTGAATAAATTGAGTAAATAAAAAATTATTTTCAATGAAAGATCGTAAAATATTTAATTCAAGAATTCATTGTTAGTCAATGGATTTCTCAAAAATCACTGTATGCTCAGTATCTCATTTAAAATCTGTCCTATAAGCAAAATAATATTAATTTTAAACTTGTTTGTGATTTCCGTGAATTTCATTGAGAAAAAAAAGTACTTTATGTATTAAAAAAAGTAGTTGTATGTATTATTTTTCCAAGCCTGAGGCGTAATTCTAAATTTTGATGTTAAAAAAGCACGTGAAAAGAAATAGAGCATCATATATTCATTCATGAATCTATGAATGAATATATAAATACATAATATATGCATTTATGCATTCATTCATAGATTCATAAATAAATAATATATTTTTGTATCTTTTGAGTTTCTGTTTCTTTAAATGAATAATCTTTTTGATGCAGTTTTACTGGTTAGTTCATCTTAAGCTTTCATCATAAAAACTATATAGTTGTAAATGGTAAAATGGTGGATTGGCGTGGTTGTATATGATCGCTTTTGATTTGCTCTATTTGAATTCTAATCTGCTTATATTTGTCCTTAATGTTACATGTTTTCTATGATTTTAATATTTAAGAAGGAAATTAAGTATATGAATAAAAGCATGTGCTTTATATGAATAACGGAATATACAGGCAAAATAATGAAAAATAAATGTTTTATATAAAAAAAATAAAAAATTTAAATTAAATTACCAAATTACCAACTTTACCAAAAATTATATTCGTTTGGGAAGAATGCATATCTCTATTCATAACACAAATCTTTATTCGTATTTATATTATTTCGTGTTTGTCATTTTGTTATCGAATAAATTCTGTTAAATTTTACTTATATTCCTTATTTGACCCTATTTATTAGTATACAATTTTTTTTTTTTAATTATTTAAGAAATTTGAAATAAAGCTATTATTTCTTTATTAACATTCCTGAAAATCAGAAATTTAATCATTCAGACATTCAAACTAAGAATTTATTAGAAAATGTAAGAAAACAGTGAGATAAAATATACATATTAAGAAAAACTCATTTCAATTTTGCTTATGGCAATACTTTTTTTTTTATTTTTTTATTTCCAATTGCAGATTATGAACAATTACAGCAATAAAAAGAACAACGAAAAAAAAAAAAAACAGAGAATACAACAAAACATGCTGAAACAGAGTTCATTAATCTAACATATCACTAGCCTCCCAATATTGCTCGGCGAGAAAGTCTTGCTGAGAGCAGGATAGTGAAGTAGATGCGTGGGGAGTCCATGGCCTCTCAGAGGTGCATATCGGGGAAGGAACAATTTTGAGTCTGTAAAGATGGTTTCGTAGGCAGTCGTTGTCAAATTAGCCTCCATAATTAGCCATCAATATCCTTCTCACACAGAGTCAGCAAAAGCTCTGCGCACTTGTATTGAGACAGTAAACCGGCATTCCACTGTAGGACTCGAAGAGTATCAAAGTGAGGGGAGGAAGACATAATGCCAAGTTGTAGATCTTTTAGCCACTAAAAAAGTGTTACCAGGTGCACCACGGGGAGGTAGATCTACTGCGCACCCATGGCAATACTTGACAGCATATAATTTAGAATTTACCACATTAAATATGTAAAAAAATCTTTATAAAACTAGATTGTCTAGACACATTGTCTAAATTCTTTTTTACCAAAACGTTAGACATAATAAATACCCAGTATGTGGTTTCATAGTTCTTACTATGAATGAAAACCTTTGTTTCATTATTTAAAAACTCAATTTCTTTAATTTGATCTAGTGTTTCAGTCCCTCCATATTTCTATTAACTGATTCATGAAAAGTGACTGCGCACTCGCCGAAGTACTATTTTTTTCTTAAAATATAGAATATATCTTACAGATGGATTAAAGTATCGAAAAGCACTATGAAAAATGAGATTCAATTAATCTCGTTACCAGTAATGCATTTGAAACGTCGAAAAGGACTGCAGAAAATAAATAAAAGAATCCATAATTTAAAATATTCCTTTTTATATTTATAAGAAAATTTTATACTGGGGACTAGTGTGATAAAGTTTATTGCGTTTAAAGAAAATTACTCGCATTATCAAATTAATTGAAAACAATAAGATAGAAAAAAAAATTTTACAATTGAAATATAAAAATGTGTAAGAAAATTGGTTTCAGTTTTTATTATTTTATTTAAATACTTATATCGTCAAGAATAATGGATATAGATTTTTGTTGTATATAATATATTATTTTTCATTGAATTTTAATTTATTGTTGCATTTATTTGAATATTACATTTTGTGTTTATTCTAACTTATATTTAATAGGTAGATAAAAATTTAGAATTTATGAAAAATGCATTTATCTAGGGGTTAAATTA